CGCCAAAATTGAAGACGATGTGCAGCATTGTTGTAAAAGTGTTGAAGGTTCAAGTTCTTTGGTGCTGGGCTCTCTACAAGCCCCAGCACTGGTTTCAGGGATGCAGGGCAGTTTATGAATACTGTATAATTATTGACGGGCGCGCGCCTCAGTCCCCAACACTTCGTTCCTGGAACGAACTGCTGCCTGTGAACAACATTGTTCTATTTATGATGCTAGCGCCACACAGGGACTCGTAACTTGAGCTGAAACCAAGTGTAGGACAGAGCGCAAACACGCTTCTTTGAATAAATACGCACTTATTGGCTTGAATCTGAAGACGACAAAAAACTCTTCGCCCTGAACTCAGGTTTAGCACAGGATCGAAGCTAGAAGCCTTAGTCACATGATACTCCGCCAGTTGGTAACTCGAGAGATGGCACATGAGCTCTGGCTTATCCTATCTTCGCCATGGTAGAATTGACAAAATCTTGAAATGTCTCAACAAAATTTTTTAAACTAATTGTAGCACTTTGACCACATGAAAGCGACACGAATACAAGAATTTCCCTCGTCAGACACTTGGATCGAGGATGCAGGCGATTCCGCTTCTGGAATGTGGTTCATAAGTTCATCCTCTGTGGAAAAAAAAAAAAAAAAACTTGCATTAAGTCAGATAGTCCGTGATTTGCTGCCGACGTAGCTGCGGGCTTTAAAAACATGTTTTGCTTGAGTCGGAAAATACATTGAAAAGCAAACTGAAAGCTATTAGAAAGTGGAATTTGCAATTTTTCTTGCCGAACTCTTAGAAAAAGGTTAGAATTTTATTCAAATTACTTGCGGTTCTTCATACTCGGAAGGTGGCGCAGGAAAACTGCAATCTCTCCTCCAAATTTGTTTAATTTTTGACAGAAGCTGACTTGAGCTGAAATTAGTTTCACTGATTTCTGCAACATTGGAAGAATTTGTGTGGCTTTCCCAACACTCCGCTGGTTTCTGCACTGTACTTGTCGTCATCGTGGGATGCATTGGCTTAAAGCTGTACTTCGGTTTCACAGTCAACTCGAGTTGCTTCATCCGTCACGTAAAATTTGATTTCTTATCCCACTATTTATATTTCATACATTCCTCACGTGCTCCTACTTTTCATTCGAATTTAATTGGTAACAAAAGTTGCTTTTTTTTTTCGTCGGCCAAATTCAAAGAAGTGTCGTTTGACTCTCTACGCTTCCGAATCTTTCATTATTAAAATTTTTTTGAATGAGTCTTGGATACTCGTGGTCAACTAAATCTTCCCGTACTAGTGTTGACCATTCTTTCGTCGGGATGTATAGCGGGTACAGTTGGTATCGCCAGTCCGCGTTTCTTCAACTAGACAGAAGCCTTGTAGTAAACCGATTAAAATCAGCGGTTCTCTGGTTCTCAGCCCTTAGATATTCATGATGTGTGCTGCTGCGATTGTAGGTGGTGTCTTCCTTTTCGTGCGTTTCTCAACCTTCTCGACTTTCCAATGATAACGACTTGAGGCATAATGAATGTGGACTCGTCCGGCAACGATACTCCGAAAGACCGAAGATATATTGTTTATACAACGAATATTATTGTAGAGAAGCTCCTTTGGCAGTGATAGAAAGTCTTCCTGAGCCATGCGGACAAAGTGACGCTGAGAACATCGCTGTACAAATAGAATCTTTGTGTAGGTAGTCCACCTAGACTCACCTCATGTTGCGTAAGATATACTGTACATGTGGTATGTATGTGGTACAGTACGTTAGTATTTCTCAACCTTTTTTAAAATTTCTATTCAAGTAAACTACAAGGTATGCATCAAATAATTTCGTAGTTTTCAAAGTACTGTAGTTTTAATGAGCTGGGACGGTCAATGTTATGCTCTCTTCAGAGAAACGACGTCATAAGGATCGCATAATATATTATGAGTTGTGTTTAAGCATCAATTGCGAAGCTATGTAAAACATAACATTTCTGTCAGAGAAATGAGGCGCATTGCTGTGCGGGATGCGTTCTTCTTGACAGCATCAAGTTCCGGAAGTTGAACAAGTGCGTAGAAAAAAAAATCTTTGTCATCCGTTTCTTTTTACGGCTATTCCTCGTCTTCTGTGCCTGTTTTCATCAGCCGCCGGCACTGGTGAGTCCAGTATCAGAGATAATTAGTGAGTTGCTGGTCTCTGAGCGCCAGTAATTTCGACGAGAAGCTTCCTTAATTTAGTCAATCATAGAAAAATTTCTCGGGAATCGCCAATAACTGCCTTTTTCTGAGGGTTGATCAGAGGTTGAAGTCACTTACCTGTATTTACTCGAGTACCACGCGCCCTTGAGTGGGACACGCACCAGGGTTTTTCAGTTGGGATTACAGTAAAATCCTATCCCACAGTAAGACGCGCACCCCATTCAGAGACTCTATATTTTAACCACAATATTTTAAAGCCCAAAATTTGAACTTCGACATGAATTGATGTTGAATCCCACTGATTTTCAATTACTGTATTTCCATTAAAATACAGGTTTTCCTGTTGTTAAACTTGGTCTAAAATGTCCCCTGCTTAGCAGCGAGTATAATGCTCACCAAAATTTCTATAACGTTTTGAAAAATGTATACCCTTATATGACGCGCACCCCCTTTTTCCTTGCAAATTTGAAAAAAATGTGCGCGTGGTACTCGATAAATACAATACAGTATGAAGTTCAGTCGAAGAATCGCAAGTATACTACTCTGCATGTACTCTTTGCTGGGGTTTTCCACTTCTTTTTGGAATACTGTATGCAGAATTTGGTGCTGCGCGATTTATTTCACAAATCCAATGCTAATTTTACAGTTAATATGAATCATTCTTTCTCCTATTAATTTTTTTTGCGAGACCGAGATTGCAGAGCCGTACGACGGAGTGTGAAACAATTTTGCTTTCGCTTGGTTCGTTCCTGTTTCGCAATAATCGCGTGTTCACTTCATCACTTGAACTTTGTCGCTTTCGAGCGTTTCCTTCAAGTCTGATGTCGCAAGGATTGGAGACCACGTTTTGCGCGATCTACATGATGATCTCAGTATATAATCTTGGGGCATATGACGTGAATTAAGCGCAGAATGTTCACGTTCTAGTTCCTCTCGATGAAACGGACAAAAAATGTTGCACGCGTAATTTTAATTGGGATGACGAATGAGAGATTGAATGCTGATTATCATACTGTACTGAAATGCAGGCTGAGAATCACTTCTGATCCAGAGACTTGCTTACCTGTTCCGCAATCACGTGTTGCTGCATCAAAATGAAGAAGTCATGTTTAGAACCTATCGCCATTGTGGATAACGGGAAATGATGCTTCTTGAAGCATCTGCTTCGTGTAGCAGATTAATTTTTTCCGTGGTTCTCGTATGCGGAATCAAATATTGCGAGGTTCGTCCAGGCGATCAACAACATTTAATTTTTGGGCTTGACACATTTTTTGTTTTGTTGGCTTCAGTCCTTCGAACTTGTTCTCAGGCGGAATTGTCTGTAACATCCAGTACGTTTACAGGCCTCAATTAAAAAATGTCTTGAGTTCTGGGTATCATATGTATGATTCAAAAGCGTTGCGCAACGATTTTGCTGATTTCCAAATCAATAGAGCGAAGGAAAAATTCTTCCTGTAACGCACACAGCCTACAGGGATTCATTTCAGACATGAAAACGAAGCTTGTGTTGGGATTTTCTTTGTTCGATTAAAAGCGAATGCACAATCTGTAGTTCGGAATAGGTTCCAGTTACCAACTCCGTAGTCCAGCTTTTTACTCTCCAGTCTAGTTAGTGGTATTTCGAACAATGCACTTCATCCTCCTGCGTGTAACTTTTGTTCATTTTGGGGCCAACAAATTATTGCGGTGAAACACGTCGGTGTTACTTTAGATTACCCTACTCTCGACAAAATGAAACGAATGAGGATGCATTTTTTCCGTTGAAATCTGGACTACAAAAGCTGATGAGCGGTGGGGTGAGGGACAGTCATTTCCTCGTCAGCAGAAAACCCCGCGTCGTAATGAAACGTCTGTCATCTTGTGACCTGAGTCGACCCGTGATACCGCGAAATACGGCATTGTGTTTCCTACATTTGATTTCGAAAGTTGAAGAAGGGGATTTCTTCTGGATGAATTTGGCTGAGAAGATATAAAGCAAAACTTTTTTCGGCTTCGCGGTATATAAAAAAAATTATTTTGCGAATCCTCGTTTTCATACGATGATTACCAAGCATATACGCATTTTCTGGCTGTCTTCACGCTACACCAGCTAAGGACTTCAACATTGAAAAGAATTTTCAAGTTTCTAACAATTTTTAACCCCAGTGAATTTCCCGCGCGGACGCATTTTCTGGAGTGTAAAATGTCAACTCTTTCGAGTGTATGCTAAGTTGCAGTTCTAAACGTGAGAGCACTCAATTACACTAGTATGAAAGTAAGCAGTTGTATGTCTTGGGGGGGAAAATCCAAGAAGGAAACTGGTTCACCAAAGATGTTTGAAAACAGCCAGACGTTTCTAGCTAAAAAAAAAAAGTTTCCCCGTTACGGTCTTCGCGTGTTTCTGAGCCCAAATCCAGGAGATTACACAGTTCATAATCAAAGGTCATTTGCAAGATATATTTTGTAGACTGGAGGATTCGTGCCCACGAAAATATTCAAGGTTTACCTTCTGAGTAACTCAAAGTAACAATCGGAAAAATAAAATTTTTGCCTCTCTTTTCCATTAAAATGTAATATTAATCGGTTATCAATTCCGTCGCGTGAAAATTTCGGGAGTCTCGTGAGCCAACGAGGTTCGCGAACACTGTTGTAAATAGCGAAGAACTTCGCTCTGGATAGAGCCTGTGGAACATTTGTGATGAGATTTAACTATCATGGGGAAACCGTCGTCTTGGTTTACCAGGCTAGTCAAGGTTGTGGGACCATTATTAAGAGTTGTAGAAAAAAAAATATATATATATACTATACACGCACTGCTGGTGACCCCGGCCGGAAAAGGTGAAATGTTTGTGCAATGCGGGCAGGTCAGAGCGCCGTTATTGGCCCAGGGTCCGTGTTCCACGTGATTCGGGCCGGTGAGCGATGCTGTGATGAAAAGCACAAATTCTTCGCGACTCCAACTTCCCCGGACCATCCGCAAAATGGGATTTCGTGAAGCAATCGCCGGCACGAAACTTTGCGCACGCCGCGATTCCTCTTGCAATTTAAAATGCATTTCTTGGGTTCCTGTCTGTCTCTTCTCATATCTCTCTCTCTCTCTCTCTCTCTCTCTCTCTCTCTCTCTCTCTCTCTCTCTTATGCTTGGTAATCATCGTATGAAAACGAGGATTCGCAAAATAATTTTTTTTATATACCGCGAAGCCGAAAAAAGTTTTGCTTTATATCTTCTCAGCCAAATTCATCCAGAAGAAATCCCCTTCTTTCTCTTTATATGCATAGATATACAATAGATTAAGTTCTTCGTTCTTCTGCAGAATTCGTCTGGCTCAGTCACAATTTTGCTCAGCTAACCAGCCGGCACTTCCTGGATGCTATTCGATTACTTTTTGAAGCCTGGACTACCTTTACTTCGAAGAGATAAATTATTGCGTAATATACGTACGTAGGTGGAGCGAAGCTGAAAAGAACTTGATAACTTGATCGTCCTCCTCGTCGTTGATGGGACAAAAATGATCCACTGTACAGTAAAATCTCGTTACAACGAATTTTCAAGTTTAACAAACTTTTTCAAATCCGGCAGAAGGCCGGAGTGCACATAGGGAAAGTATCGTTATGAAAAACTTCCCTATTCCAGCATAAAAAACTTTTTTGAAGTTTTTTTTATAGATTCTGAATACTGCATGTAGAAATGGAAGCAAAATCGTGTTTCACTAATTAAATTGAATACCGCATACAGAGTGATCCCGAAAATTTCAAACCAATTTTCATAAAACTAATGCTCTACAACAGGGGTGCCCAAGATACGGCCCGCGGGCCAGATCTGTCCCGCGGAGGCTTTTCATCTGGCCCGCAGAGCCAGCATGGAAAATCTCCACAAAAAATTAAGACACTGCTCAAAAAGGAAAAATTGCAAGTTTTTCAAGATGTCTTCAGCCTGCAATTTTGATTAGGAATTTTATTAGTGCTTCATAAATTCTGTTATGATTCCTTCTAACCAAAAAGAACAGTTTGCAATGCTTTGTGATGTCAGTCATTCTGTTTTTCAGATTAAAGGACAGGGTTTTGCAATTTTGTAATTCAAATCCTACCCCAGCATTTTTCTGTCATGTTTTTAATTTAATTGCATATCTTGATGAGGTCCTCAACTCTGTACACCACTTTTTTATATTGCACTTAATTTGCTTTTTTGGCTTTAGCATGATTCAGTTTGCAGATGTTGTGCTTTTGAAGTAAAATATTTAAAATGCTTAGCTATACACATTCCTTCTACAGTATTAGTTGTGTGCCATGGATTTATTGTGCTCTGCTATGATTTTAGGTGTATTAAAATGTATAACAATGAGCCAATAGAGGAAGAGAGGAAAGACAAAGTTGGTGTTTTAAAGAACCTAAAAAAACTTCTGGTTATGCTCATGGGATGATCATTCATGCCACTTCTTGACCAAGTAGTGCCATTTTTTGTTCACTTTCACACCTCCAATATTAGATATCAGAGAGAAACACAAGAGCATCTTTTTGAAAATCCCACCATCTCAGAATGTCTCATATTCTCTCTGCCTCAAAATGCCTCTGCCTTAAATTATCCCTGCTTCCAAAAGTTTCTGCCTCAAATCCTCCCTCTCTCCAAAAATGTCTGTCTCCAATTGGCCCTGTTTCAAAATGCCAGTCTGGATTTATCCTACATTCAAATGTGAATTCAACTGGCTTATTGATTGACAAAAACCTCATGAAAAATCCCCCACTATTACCTAAATTTGATGCCGGACACATATCTTGGTTTTGACTATCCCAAAAAGGCCATGAACATTTCATGTGTTGAGAGGTTGAATGAATGCTCCTTTGCATAAAGACCAAATTTTCAAATTCTTAAGATAAGGTTATACATGCTGTGAAATCATTATATATACACAACATTTTCTCCACATTAGTTACTTTCTGAAACATAGGCTTTTATTTTTGTTTCATCCAAAATTATTCTCAACATTTAAATTCAATCATAATTTTCAATTGCTTATTGCTTTTGGACTCTGGTTGAACCTTTTTGAAAAGTTTTGCAGATTGCATTCTATTATTCCATTAAGAAAAATCCAGTTATAAAATAATGAAGATACAAGTTGAACTATATCAGTAAAAATGAAGCCAAAAAGTTTGTAGATGAAAAAAGTCAGATAGCCAGATAATGAAAATCCTGAAATATTTATTGAACTTGATTATAGACTAGAACTTGATTGCATATCAATTAGAATAGTTGAAAGTTGAACCATCCCAGAAATTCATGAATTATGCAATGTACTGGACAAGATTTCTTCCTTTTTTCCATTATTGTGGCCCGCATAATGCTCTTCTACTTCAATGTGGCCCTTGGCCACTTCTGAGTTGGGCACCACTGCTCTACAATATATAAAAAGCGAGTCGAGTGAAAGTAAAATATAGTGACCTTGCGTGGTATCGATTTTTCATCTGTTAAATTATAGTAATGTTGTATTAATGTTATCTGGGTGGGGGCGGGGGATGGAGGATCTACCTCGAATCACATGGAACAAAAAATACTGCGGGCTCAAGACATAAATACTGTATAATTAAAAGGCCAGAATCTGAAGTGAACCTTCGTTGGAGTCCACTTTCAGTTTTTTGGCCATTCCTGTGAGTTTGAAATGCAGCACTGCGTTGTTGTTTGAAAAAGCGGTCAACATATTTTTCTGAGACGCTCATGTGCACTTCGATGCTTTCAGCGGAAAATCAAATGATATTTCTTTCTCGATTTCGAGAATCAGGAAACAGATTTCACGCTCACATCGGAAATTTTTGCGGGTTTCTCGATCGATCAGCGTTGCGTTGAGCCGAGTTGCGGACTCTAATACTGTATCCTCTAAAATATTTAGGAACGTGACAGGGTTGGTGCCGTTGACTTGCTGGAAGTGTCGTCGCCGACGACAAGAACGCAAGGAGCTCATCATGGAGATCGTGGAAACTGAGATGAAATACGGACGGGATTTGCAAATAATCCACGAAGAATTCTACCGACCCATGCTCGTGGCGGGTCTTCTGACCGCCGAACAACTGGCCGGAGTCTTCCTCAACTTGCCCGAGTTGCGGGACTGGAACCGACGCTTCACAGATCGGCTTCGGGACGCCTTGGAAATCGCACTGGAACACGGCGACGAAGACCTTCTCACCGTCAACCTCGGGGCCTTGTTCCGCGAGGCCGCGCCGATGTTGCACGCGTTTGAGACCTATTGTTTGCGACAGGTATGTGCATCACTAGCTTCTATGTTCAGTGTCACCCCGCACTACGAACCCCCAGTAGAACAGATGTTCCGCTTAGCAAAAATTTTTTTTTTGTTTGGAAAATCCTTTTTTTTCACCCCTTTAGAACAAACAAATTTTGTACTACAAACAAGGGTGCATTCACACCATTCCTCGTAGTACAAACAAGTTTGTATAATGAACAAGTGTTGTTTGCACTGTGAACAGCAATTTTTTTTACTTCTCCGCTGGTATTATATACTGCGGTGTTATATAATACTGCGGTATATATAGCGTTGCAATGCTGTGATTGGCCAGAGCAGGAACACTCTGGCCAGAGTGGGAATTGCAGTATTTTATAATACCGCAATATATAAAACCGTCTGTTCCGGCGCTCATTGCAAGGCAGATCTGGTATGAAATTAGTTAAAACTACTGTATAAGACACAACTATTTTTTTCCCCTTAAAAAAGTCAACTTTTTGGTTTTGTGGAAAAATTAAACAATTTCCCATACAAGTCTATGGGAAATCGTGTTTTGCCCAACAAACGTAGCTCTGGAACAAATTATGTTTGTAGTGCAGGATACCACTGTATACAGTACCCAGTACCCCCCAAAAATAAGAGCTGCATTACAGTTGAACCTCCATAACTGGAACCTCCCCAAGTCTAATACCTCCTCAATAAGTCAAATTCTTTTTCAAGTCTCGGTCTGAATTCCCTTATAGAAACAAAGCATTAAAAACTTATTCAACTTGAAGGCTTTCATGCTACTTGAACCTCCATATAACTCAATATTTGGAGGCCTACTGGCTACAGTATTATTTTCTTTAAACAAGACAGAGAAAATCAATAAAAAGTACTTTATCTGGCTTCAAAGGAAGGGAACGACTAATTGGACAAATGAACCCCTGCCTCCAAGTTCAGCATCCTGTCGACTCATTCAAGTAACAATGTAATGCCTAGAATATCATAATTTACAATTTCTTGCAATTTTTGTAGCCTCCTGCAACAGGAATACTTGTTTCCTTGACTCTAAACCTCCGTAACTCAAAACCGCCGTAAGTCATTTTTTGTTGTTGCTGCTTTCTTTAAATAACGACTTGTACGCATAATCCCCCTCCCCCCAATGGAGGAGAGGGAACATGATAAGTGCAGATTTCATATTCCCAAATAAACAGATGAACAGAGCCTCTATACCTGGAAGATATTAGAAGCAAGATTTTAGAAGTTTAGGTTAAACTCAATCTTGGTACTAACAGAAAATGTTGGACTCGCTTTAACGAAAAGTTTTTAAAATGAGAACTATGGAAGTTTTTTAATCGTGCTCAATTCGTCAAACTTCTATTTTTTATTATGCTTCTTTTGGAAAATTTTAACTTTTCATCTACTAAAAATGGGATGCACGTCGCACTTGGGAATAGGATGTATCAAAATTTTGGTGCATGTCTTACTTGATGAGGGCGTGTGGTACTTGAGTAAATATGGTAATATTCGGTAATATTGATTTGTGGATACAGTAATTGGATACATGAGTGCCTCATACAACTAACATAATTTAATCCAATTTGTGTTTTGTTGAATGAGGCGTTTGTTATATGGGTCAATAGTAGCTCATAAAATGAACTGTAATGTTCCAACATGTTTTTGTTATATGGGGAATTTTTACATTGATGGAGAAAATCCCGTGCACGTTTATATGCAGAAAGTACTCCAGTTTTTCTATTAAAAAAAACTTTATGACGGAAACACTCAAATAGACCGTTTTTCGGATCCGGGTTGCGGAGAAGGGCTGTTTCAGTCAAGGGCAATCATAAACTGAATATATCTTGGAATCATTTCATGGCATGTTCCGTCGAATCACCACAGCAACCGTATTCGCCCTGTTCGAGGATACTCGCTTTTCCGTAAAGGAAAAATACACCGTTCGAAATACTGAACTGACGTTGACAAAGTAGTTACAGAAGCTAAAAATTTTGAAACCGTACTGCAGCTCTGGGAGAAACCCCGGTATGCTGTGGGAAGCTCACATCATCCGCGCGTGAGCGGGGGAATGCGTGGTTATACACAGTACAGAGAATAATTGTGGACGCATTGCACGTGTCCTTATAATAAATCATCGGACGCACGAAGCAGGAACTTGATGGGAACCGTCTTTGCAGTTCATTGGGTCGAGATTCAAATGCAAATCCGAAACTTGTTGAATTCCTAACTGAACGGATTCCATGAAAAGTAGCCCACGCTCCGTGGAATATCAGTCAAATGCAACCAGCGGTTGTTTCGAATGGGTTGCCTTTGATGAAGCTGTCGCCTTTTCTCGGGACGCCAGATAAATTCACGCGACATTATGTTATGGGAAATAAAGATATTCGAATGGATCCGGTGCTTCGTTTCAATGATTAGTTTTTTCTTTGGCACGTGTGGTCATGCCCAGAAAAAGTCCGTTCGGGTGGTTTCGCCAGTTTTGGCGCTTGAGTTACGAAGTCTTGCGTAATCATTGCCACTGCGCAAGAGATTTAATAATTTCGATGTTGAAAAATTGCGAGTGTCTTCGTCTGCGAGAGGCACCCTTTTGTGTTTCTTGCGAAGAACGAGTAGCGAACCGAGGGAAAGACGATGTACGAGGGCTGGTTCATAAGTTTTTCCCAGTCTTCTATTCCCCGTCGTTCAAGATGCACAAAGCTTGGCGGCAGAAGTTTGTCAACTTATTTTTGGGTAGTACTCAATAATTTCTTGGCCACTATTTTAATTCGTGCTGGTGTATGAGTTGCAATGGAGAGAACACAGAAATTTTGATGCGCATCGTCCCAACTGAAACGAAGGTTCACCAGTCACCCTTTTCTCTTTCATTATTCATGAGCTGGTCTAAATTTGTCAAAATACTACAAACAAATTTAAAATTACTACCATTAAAATGCCGAAAACCATTCCAAAAAGAATTTTCACTTTTTGGCCATTGTGTTGAGACATTTGTGTGTAGGGATTGTCACAAAATAGGATGCCGATGATCCGTGAGCCAGACTTCTTTCACTTCTAGACTGCCATTTTTGCCCAGTCTTGGTATTGATCTCAGATATCTTGATAACCAAAGAACTGCTTGGAGGAATTATTTTTTTAGCCTGGTTTCGATCGATTGTTTCAGAAGTTGAAAACTTAATTAATTTTCAGACAGTCGCACATGAAGAATTTTCAAATGGAGAATCTTTCGACAAGAGGAACTGAAATGATGTAAACAAAGGCTTTTGTTTGCGTCCGAAAATATCTCTGTTGAATTGTAGTACCGTACTGTACTTGAAGTTGCGGATAGGACTTATTACACAGCCCTCGTGCTCGTACTTCCACCAGCTCATACAGTGTTTGCGGGGTATTGTGATCTACCAACGCTGATTTATGACATCTCATTCACTTGGTACCTATAGGGGACAGCCAGCGTCTTGCTCAACAGTCTGGAGAAGGAGAAAGAACTGCTGAGAATCTTCCTCAAGGTGTCGCAAATGGAGAACACCCTGCTGCGGAGGATGGACTTGTCGTCATTCCTCATGGTGAGTGCGGCTTCAATCATGTTTCCTTCTGACTCAGGCCTGAGCCACGTCAGTCCATTTACGATCCCCGGGGGCGGCAATTAGGCGCGTGCAGTGCTGGTGCGCCGCGGAAAAGAGAAAAAAAGTAATAATTAGATCACCCATCGCGAAGTTCTGAAGCATCCCGATTGCATGCCGTCGATGGACCAGTTCGGGATGAGGACAATCTCTGCAGCTATAACGACTGCGGAGAAGTGAATCCAAGGACCGATTTGATAGCATGGTCGGTTATCGGTCACGGGAAATTCGTCCAATTAACCTGGTTTCCGCCCGCGCCGTGCTCCGTGGAAATCCATCAGAGCTTGTATAAGGCCCACCCCCGGGTTGAACGCGTCTTTTCCGTTACGTATTTCGTCTTAATGACTGCTTCGGATCATTTCCGGTTGTAAAATGTCTCGCCTAGTCCAGTCCCCGACTATGCTTCGCGGTTTATGTCGTGCGGCTCGGGAGTTCAGGCCTCGTATTTTCCTTGTCCTGACGTTTGATTGCATTCACCCGGCATCTGCATGCATGTCAAGCTGTCTCCACCTCTGCCTTGCGTTCAACCGAGTGCTTCCTCAAGTCATCGACCCACATTTTTTAAAATTCACCGAAAAATACAGCTTATGATTTAAAAAATTAAATTTTGTTGATCGTATGCAGTTACATTGAAGGCTTCAAAGCCCATCAATCGGTTATTCTCTCGCGATAAACCCAAATTATTACCTTTTTACTCGAGTATGACCCTCACGTCAGTTCTTTTTGGCATGAAGTTTACCCAAAAATGAATCCCCGCTTGTGACGCGCGCCCCAGTTTTACATGGTTGAAAAGCGGATTTTTATTCAAAATTATAATGCTGAACAGCATAATCTCATACAAATATTAAAAGGTAGGTAAATCATTTTAACTGAATTTGAGGAAAACAAAATTCCTTGTTCATTATTCGCACCGACAAAAGTAGACTTATGGCTACTACCACTAATTTCCTTTTTTTTTGCCTCAGAAAATTTAGACTGCACCCGCATACCACGCGTACCCCCCTCCCCTTTTCTGCCTTGATTTTGCAGAAAAAAAGTGCGCGTCAAACTCGAGCAAATACGGGCATGTTGTAAATCTTCTTAAGGTGAAGGAATCAGACTCCTAAAATAACTGACTCGTGCAGTTCGACTTGCCTTGCCACGAATTTTTTTTAGTCCCGGCAGGCCTTCTGTCAATGTTTGAAAATTTCCTCTAAAACGGTATTTTCCTCACAATGATCCATTCTCTTTCACCATTAGTACAGTAGTTTAGTATAAAGAGAAAGTACACCACTGCGTACCTTGTTATAGTGATGACCAGTGGCATGAAGTGGGACGCTGGAAATTCGCTTCATTACCTGCCAATCCCATTTCACGACAATACCTAAGAAAATTACTGTATTTTTGGATGTGCAAATTCAATTACTGCAGTTGAGACGGCATTTTTAAACTTCCTGAAGCTGGGCTTTCATGGCATTATTTGTCATTGCACTTTTAAAGCATGTATTATTTTTGTAATATTAATTTCTCTGCACGTTTTCCTGTCGCGGACAATGCAGAAATACTATGCAAATGTTCAATTTGAAATTACCCTTGAAATACTGTATCTAACTGCAATAAATTCAAATCACCTCGTCCCTCGAAAGTTCCCGACAGTCCTCCACCAGTCCGCAACCTCAAAACAAGTGTGTTGTCTGATTTTCCGTTATGTATACAGTACGAGTATCTCTCCGAATCGATTTGCCTGCATAAAGTTTCTTCCTTCGGATTTTTATAGCCCAAAAAGACTTCCTTTGACTGCCATGATGTTCTACTTCAGAGGATTATTCTTTGTTCCTTCAAGTGTCTTAAAACGATACCATCTGCTTTATTTAATCAAGATTACGGTACTTGCCTCACATGATTCAAGTTTCCACCGAATCGTCTGTCAACTCTTTTGATTGTCTAAAAACAAGTATTTCTTCAATTTGTTGTCCAGACTGGCATGTACAGTAGTTATCTTTAATTATGAAAATATGTTACTCTTTGGACAAAAAAGCTCGAAAAGAAGGATTCTTGGGGGTTTTTTCGTATTGATTCAGTGATCAGAAAACGAGGATGCGAAAAAACATCGATAGGTAGAGAAAATCGTCCTGTCTTGTTTTCTGGGTCCAGATAGGCATCGATGCTAGGGTTTCGTGCCCGGTGGTCGAATGCGCGAGGGACACGGGCAGAGAAGCTCGGAAATTCGGCGATCGCCTCGATCGCCAAAACTTTCGAACCTCCGGAATGTGTCACATTCCTCGTCCTCGCAAAGAAGTGCGATGGTGTTAGCTGACAGAATTTGCAAATGCCTCGAGAGTCGTGGTCCCCGTCGGTGTTGTACACGCACCTCGCAAGACTCCTTTTTATCTCCTCCCGATCCATGAGACTTTCACGGTACGTGGCCCACAAAACCCGACAGTGCTGCAATTTCTCTGCTCACTTGAGGTTTGCGTTGAGCCGGAGAAAAATCGATTGCGAGATGATTATTCCAAAACTACTGAGATCCGTGCACAGGACTACGTTTGACTGCTTTCACGTCCATGGAATCGAAAAGTTTTCGGCGCTTTCTTAGATGCAGCAGTAAATCCTTCCTTTTTTATTACGACGAAGAGAAAGCTAACAGTTGAATACGACACGCTCTTAGCGACTGCTTATCAAACTTTTACTTTTGCCAAAGAAAGTGTCCAGCAGAGAGCCGAATCGGCGAACCTTTCGAGCAGCCAGGTTTGCAAAAGGAAAAGGATTGAAGCATCAGCGTAAACAAATTTTCGAGTAAATGGGAACTCTCCGAATGATGACCAAACTGACCAGGAAAATAAATTTTATGTGTCCTCGATTCCTTCACTCTTCACTTTGATACGATTATTTTTTTTGCGCTTCCGATTTACTATAAAACTCTATATCATTTACGCGTTGTCCTTATTTTTTAAAATCTGGAGTCCTGCAATATTCTTCACAAGAATATAAAGTACAGTACTGTAAAAAAGACGAATAAATGCTTGCCAACGTGTCTTTTTTCGTACCAAATTCACATTTTGATTTTCATTTACTGTACTTTCAAAATACCTCAGCGCTCGATGGGTCAACATTTTCAAAATTTCATAAGTTTTGAACGAAAGTATATTCGTTATATCGTCTATGCTTGTTCTCAAACGCGAATACTGTACGGCACAGTACTGTACAAGATGATGCTTGCTACTCTTTTAGGATTTTTCTTCAATCTAATTTTTCCCGTCTTGAGTTTATCCAGAGTAGCATGATTATGTTATTGTGAATTCGACTGCTTATCGTAAATTTGATTCTTGGTCGCTCATCAAATGGCGTGGGACGAAATCCCCGCGTTGGTCGCACAAGGCGAGGGTACAGTACTATTTTTCTTTTGATCCTGTCACGGCTAAACCACGGACGTCTTACTTTTTTTCAAGCTTCCAAAAGGAAAAGTAAAACGAAGAAACTTTGAATCATTACGAACATGTTTATGCGCTGGGATTTCCTGGATTGGTTGGAATGTGCGACGTCATGCTTGCACGGCTTGTCCGTGATGTGCCGATTCACTTCCTGGCCTAATTGAACTGATGAAATATTGCGAGAAGCGCTAAAAAATGCGAGCTGTCGTACAATTTTTAATCAAGCCAACATCAGCGAAATGATTAACCGTCTTGATTGATTCTAGTCATTTTCAAACTTCAGTGATAAATTAGGAACCAATCCAAATTTTCGGATCTCTTCGATATGAACAATCCCAATACCGTACTGCGTTACCTAAATCGTCTGGAAAGGGGAAGAGCATTATTTGTTCTTGCGATCCAAATTCTCCGGTCCGTGAGAGAAATTATTTTTTTATTCCGGAGGATGACCCACATTTTTGCATGAATGAAAAAAAAAACATTAAAAATCAATACGCTAAGCCGAAGAAAAATCTGCATCGTATCTGAAGCTTATTCGACAAACACGAACATCTATATTTGCCCAATCCATCGTCCGCGCAAAAGCATACGCTTGAAATATATGCGCGCACATTTTACCTACACGGATGGGAATGGCCATCGCCTCGCCTCGGGTCTAACGAGTACTGTACTGTGTATCTAATAAGTCTGATAAGTTGCTTTTTCTCAGATTAAAATAAAATTATGCAGGAAACTGACATTTGCGACCACTCAGCATCGGAAATACTATCTGTACATGAGTACTCAACTGTACAATAAATATGATGCTTACTTTCATAGGTTCCTGTGCAGCGCGTCACGAAGTATCCCTTGCTGCTCGGAAGGCTATACAAAGTTACACCTCATCGACTGGAAGGAAGGGAAGCTATCAGAGAGGCTCAAAAGAAAATAGAAGCACATCTGGAACACATCAATGCGGTAAGTAAAAAACGTCTTCTTGCATTTGAAGATCTGAAGAATAAGTTACTGACGCGCGGCTTCAAGGCCAACCTTGAGCTACCTGAGTCTGAATTTAGTCCATAAATATATCCTGTAAACTGAAAATGACTCAACGATACTCGACGCGTCTTTCCATGACGGCATATTACTTACCAAGCCCTTCATCTTCATACTATTCAACGGATAGAGGTCTTGCATTTACGCTTGCGATTCGGTCAATATGATGCAATTTCGTCGAATTTTGATCGGAAATTCGAAGTACGGCTCCTTCTGCTAGGTTTATTCAAACTTTAAGACGCGAATACGCTTTGTGTAACCTGAATCGCAGAATATCCTTAGAATATTTCCAAACGATAAGGGCGATTCACGATGCGCAAAATTCTCGCTGATTTAATCGGGAAGATGAATGCTGCGAAGGGATGGAATTCGCCTTGTCAGGCTTAACTGCGGGGATTCCCTACAAAACCGTTTCTCTTCCGTCTATATACGATCACTCAACTGCGCGACATGGATTTTTCCCAAACTAGTCCATCCTGCGATCCAGTCGCGGGATCACTGTCGAAAATTTTCAAAGTCGAACCCAGTGTGCCGCGTTCATCCTTCTGTGAAAAAAAAATTATTTACAAAAACGGATTGAAATTATGGTAACGCTGAGGGAAGTAGACCTTGTGCGGTGCTTGGAGAATCGCAGTGATAATGGCTGTCGTCAACAGGAGGCGAAAGAAATCGGAACAACGAAGCTCTGGCGTAGGATTTCCATCATCAGCGCCTCTAGTTCCGTGCGGCGCTTGAACATTTTGGAAACTGACCAAGTCGGCAACATCCGACTGCGCAAAGTAAGTGTTTTTTTTTTTTTTTTTTTTTCTTTACGGAAAGAAAGACAAGTTGTGCAAATTTGCATTCTGAAGAAAGCAGTACTAGGTCATAGTGATGGTAACAGAGGTAAATGACCTGATGCATTGAGGTGAAAAAGTCATGCAGAGCAAACGGTCCTTGAGATTTCTTTAGCGGCACTTCGGCGAACAATGCCTGAAGATTCTCATGTTCTTGACCCATGCAGATTTTTTTTTACTTGTTACGTCTCTTTTTTTCAGCAGTATAATGGGATGATGACTCCTTATGAAGTTTCAACATGAACAAACCCAGATCTTGTTAACATGATTCACGCATTTGAGCATGGAGGCGTGCTTCATGCTGAATAATGCGCATGGTTATTATTACTTGAAATAATTACAATTTTCTCAGCGCGTCACGTAATAAATTACTGCATCTGTTGAAAGATTCAGATCCAACCGATCGAGTGACTTCATTGAACGATTTCATCACCCGAACATAAGACGGCTTCATGAAAAACATGCTCCCACTGAAAAAATCCACACTTTTCATTCAGTGATCTCAGTGTGAAAGAAGCTTTGAAATTTTTTCCATAGTCTCAAATGTAGTCCTTTGTTTCCCAAGCTTCTCAATCACCATTTCCCAAGCCACAATGAGACCGATAACAAAACTCGAAGGCAGGTACTGTTTATTTACTGATAATTTTTATCAATTACAACCAACGCCTCGCTCACCAATCGAAATTTCAAAGAAACCCTTAGATCCAGTGTATGTTTTGACAAAAAAATCGGTAAATCCATTTTTCGTGAATATAAAGTTATAGGATTGAAGAAAACGTCTCAAAGGAAAATTAAAAATGATTTGAAATACAGCGTGCCTTCAATTTTCGTTACGCATGCAAGTATGAGGCAGATAAACCTTGATTATTCCTTCATCAGAAAGTCGGTGTGTGATTTTCAACTTTCTGCGTTTTGTCCCTTTTGAATCTAGACAATCAAAAACGAAGTGCTTAATGCCAAATTTAATTTAAAAATTACTCGGTTGAAATTACGCCCCTCTTCATTCGTCCATCGATCCTCGATGACTTCAAATGAAATGGAACGTCAAACCCTCACACGACCCGTAAAAATAATGAAGCAATCCTCGTGCGTGTTCCATATAGGAAAACATTTCGATTGAAGATGTCTATTCATATTCGTTCTGACAAAAATCATGTGCACGTTTTCCTTATAGCTCGCCCTGGATATCCTGGAATGGAGCGCAGAAAACGTGTGTTTCGCGATGGAGGGTCGCTTGTCTTTCACTCAAGCAGGAGACAACATGTGGACTCGCCGAGGAAAAAATGTTAAGCTTACACCAACTTACGCTTTGTTGGTCATCCGAGGGAACGTAAGTGCTTGAGCATATTGAGATATGTTCTTAGAGTAAATACAGTGTAATTCTCCCCAAGGTTCTCAAATAATACGCATTTAGTCTTGGCCCATTCTTGGTTCAATAATGTTGGTCATTTCGAGTGCCCCGAATATAGCGACGAGAGCTACAACTGTTACTGATGAAATCTCTGCAAATAATTGCCTTCCCTTCCGAGGAAACGGAAATTCACGATTTTCGGTGACACACTGATTTTCCCCCCTATAATTTATGCGTGCTCATGTGCTGTTGGTGAGCGTCGGTGAGCCTTCTCAACAAAAAGATGAATTTTAGATCCGTTTTTGCATGTACGTATATACGACATACTTTTTTGCAACCGTCGTTCTATCTGGAAAAAATCAGCTAAAGTGGATTTCAATTTTTTCGTGTTGATTTTGTTCATACTACAGTAGTTTCTTGCCACTCCAATTGAGAAGACATGAAATTAAAACAAGTATGCAGGTGGACTTTCTTTTTATAACGATTTTCTTCGTATAACGATTTTTTCCCCGAAGAGTTCTCGTCCCATGTTATAGAGGCTCTCCAGCCACAACAAAATTCTCTCTACAGCGAATTTTTCTGGTCCCTTGAATCTCGTTGTAGAGGGTGTCTACATGAACCTGTATATAAATGGGGTCGGAAAATTTTGGAGGCTTTTGGTCTGATTCTAAAAGTTCTATAGACTATATCGAGTAAGATATTGCCACTCGAGACGCCAACGAACCCTCTCCGCCAAACATTTTGGCAGAATTCTTCAATCGAAAAGTGTTAATGGGTGTTCGCGATGTATGAAAATGTAAACTCCGTAATATAAGGGTTCTCCTCGACGAATTGTTTTCTGGTACCTTGAATTTTGTTCTATAGAGAGAGTCCGCTTGCATCAGCAGCTCGAATAAAATTAATCCTCTGCGTACATATAATCATTCTGTGCATCGGGTTAGCATAGTCTACCTTCATGCAATTTCACGTCATGATACCAAAATTAATGAATTTTTTGTTTCTTTATTGATTTTTGCCACAGTTGACCAGCCAGTACAATCCAGCAGATGCGGACGGCGACGTGCTTTTCTTTGCGAGACGAAAAGGCATCGAACAAGCTGCGCTTTTGCTCGCAAGAGAGCGGAATTCTCGCTACGCCCTGATCAGAGTAAAAATACTGACACGTTTCTTTCCAGTCGAACTTGGTGAACTAATTAAAAGATGCTTTTGCAGGATCCACTGATGCTTGATAAGTGTATCGTATCATCTGACACGGAAGTTGAGGGGTATTTTGAAGTCCACGACCATTCAACCAAAGATACCTTGTACTTCAAGGTACGATTCCTTTTTTTATAGGAGCATGTACAACCCCAGTGAATCTCCCTTTTGCAAATAAGGCAATTGAATTTTCTGCGTGTGCATGAGCCAAGTTTCCTTCAAAGTTCTTCGTGGACGAGGAGTTACTTACTACCTGCAGAATATTTTCTGTTGCATATACAGTATATTTTTTTATTTTATGCCGTTCATCATCTTGATCTTGCGGTATGCTTCATTTTTTCTGAGTTTTATTTATGCTCCACGCCCGATTTATTTAACGTGTTGATAACGCAATGTGAGCTCGATTTCGCAAAAACTGATTTCTTGTTCGAGAAAGAAAATTCCTGTATTTTGTGCCGAAGAGGCAAGCCAAAATGGTTCGTGTTCTTAAAACCAGTTACATGTACACCAAGTTCGAGATAATCAAAAATTCAAGTCAACATCCTCGTCTTTATCAGTGTGATACGTCAAGCCATTCCCATTATGCATTATTCTGCTGCATAATCTCTGTAATTTTCAATTGTCTGTGATTTTGATAAATCCGGAAGATGGTACCTATTGACGAACCCGCGAACAATTGAGTTGGGGGATTTTTTAATGAATGTGTACGAAGTTGACGCTGTTCTTGTCCCCGAGGTGCCGTCTTCCGGATCACGGAAATTTATAGAAAATGTTAATGTTTTTGTACTACGATAACCTGTGGTGATTAAGATGAGTCGGATAAATCCTGGGTGTTTGCCTTGAAATTGATATACCGATGACAGTTTAAAGAAAATTTTCTGGTATATTTGCATTCAAGAATTTTTGCTTGAATTTCTGTATATGCGTATACACATTTGTGCAATAAATCTTGGCATTTCTTGACGACAGAAATCATTTCATTAGCCGTTAAATGCCGTAATCCATTCCAGCGACAATAATAAGTCAATTGTACAAGAAGTCTGAAATAACCGAGGAATGTAGAATTTTATAGATTGATTGTTTGGTTCAAGATCCCTGAGTACATTAACTGAGTAAAGCTGTTTGGGATGATTAATCCATTCTAGATCCGTTGAAAATGTTCTTCACGAATTCCTGAATAAATCAAAACTACAGTATTTTGAAATATTTCAACGACGGAAAATAAACACGCTTTGAAATCGAGGAAAATGCTTAATGCAGTCAATAATATAAGAAACTTCGACGTACCATAACTGAAGTGATCTTTGCATCCACATTTCCGACGGCAACTTAATTTTTTTGGGAAATTCATTTTCATGCTTTCCTGTATCCAAAGAGAGGCCCGCTTTCGATAGCAAAATTCAAATGCAACTCGTGTTAACTCCGCGAAAGATAAATTAGGCATCAAGGTGTTCATTATTGAAAGGGTTACCCTTGTAATGTACTTGTATTTAATGAAAAAATTATCGATCAGGTGGAGAGACATTTTATAGCAATCACTTTCATGTGATTCATCAGCATTTTTCGACCGGTGTTCCGCGTAGTTTCCAGCATGATGAGGAGAGAAAAAAATCGGAGCTTTTGCGCATGGTCAGGACGATTTGACTGAGTCATGACGAATGCGCGAATACGGTTTGAAGACCCGGAAGAGCCCGAATGATTATTTATTTTTCAAACAACGTCGCACGTTGCTCTGATTTTCTTTCCAGGCTGAGTCGCAGAGCTCGTCTTCCATGTGGTTCCGTGTTCTCCAGTACCACTGCCACAGCCTGGGCAATTGGCGGCGGAGGCGGAACGCCCTGGCGAACATCATGATCGACGGGATGGGGATCGACAAAAGCCATTGACTGACGCTGTGATGAATGTGACGACCGACCACGACGTGACCAACGACGGACTACCGCACACCAACTAATTTCACGCCAGGAAGGCAACAATCGAACAGAACTGCATGAGGTCCGCGCATTCATTATATCAATATTACTTGTTGCTTTGTGCTTCCAGTGGGTATCCTTTTCTTCGTTGCGTTTCGGTACATTTCACGCTAACATATTTATAATGAATGTTTCTCCGCTGTGTTTTTGAGAGTAAAAGTGCTTCTGCGCTCGTTATTCATATCGTGCTCTGTTATTAATTTATATTCGTGACGCAGCGATTTTTCCCTGACAGCTGGACGAGGATATTGAACCTTCAAGATTTTCGAGACCTTGGAGTTCATGAAGCTTTGGTAATTAATTTCATTCGATTTTTCCTGGCGATTGAACGAGTTCTTTCAACCCTTCTGTCTGGTGCCGAGTCTGGGGAACACTTTATTCTGTGTACAAAAAGGGTGCCGCACCATACGTCTGAGCCTAGGGGGCCACATCAAAGCACAAGACGAATTTATAGTGAATGCAAGTAATAAGCACTGAATTTGAAGCATCGATGCTCTGACTGCAATCTTGAAGGGTTTCCAAAATTTTATTGTGCAGTGAGTAATTTTAAAATCTAAATACAGTACTAAATACCAAGGTAGTGCAATTATACTTATGTAACGTCCATAATCCATTCCAACTCAAGCGAGGGACGCTATCCGAAGCAGGCATTCAACAAGATCGTATAAGCGTTTCAAAACAATCACAGGCAAAACTAATTAAATTCGGCTGTAGCTATAGCCGTTGTATGGAACAGGTCGTTATAGAAGGAAAACATGGCGAAAGCTGATTAGCCAGGGTACTCATGAGTCATGAGTATCATGACATATTTTCCTTCTCAATATGGAGTCATCTCAAATTTAACGCCTTCGTCATCTGGGTGTAGGAATGGTCCTACAGTATACTGTACTAGCAGTGGTACGGGATGATCAGGTTAGAGATGAAATTTTAAAGACCAAACTGTCAGAATTTGTGACTGCTCCAGTCTTATACTTCTCTTTTTCACTTCACGCGTATGCCTTTTTAGTTCCTATGTAATTTGATAATCACAGCGGAATATCCTCAAAATACAGCCGCACAGGGGAAAAAATACAAGTGCGTGGAAGTTGGCACAGTTGACCTTGAGCGGGAAGAAAAGTTCTTGCAGAATGGCAAAACCGACGCTGGAGCAAAGGCTGAAGAGAACGCGAGTTCCAAAGTCCGACCACGGCATTACCGCGCATATCAGATCGACGTTCCTTACCTCTGGCGATGAGATTTTCCGGCGAGATTCGATCCCTTGGATCCTGCCCCACACAGCGGGAACCCTTTACATGATGGAAGAGGAAATAAAAACATCACAAAATGTTTCGTTTCTTTGTCTTGATTTTTATCGTTTGTGAAGACTCAGAATCAGGGTGCGCTCATCATCAGTTCGTCATCGGTCTGGCTGTCGGACGCCAAAATGTCGGCGGCTGTTCGTAGTCAATTTTTCCCTCAGCATGAAATCGTCGATTTTTTTAAACATATCCTCCCTTTTAAAGTCAGTGTTATTTCACAAGAAAATTATTCGCATTTCCGCATGCTAAATATTTTCGAATGCACATGCCACACTGCTGGGAAGATAATAAATGTTATGAAGAAGAAAGGAGACATGTGTACGAGCCGCAAAAAATTTAAAAATTTTGGAAAGCAAATTCGCCCGATGCGTGCATTAATCAATGGTTGCATTTCGTTTTTGAAATACAGTATAACGAATGAATGATGTAGAAGTTATCTTATGGGCATTACCGAAATTGCATGCAAAAGGCGGAAATGCCCGTCAAAAACTACAAAATTGCCTGGATCGGAAATCTCGAAGTGCTTTCCTATAGCGGGATTTTTTCGGCCTTGTTTTCCGCACAGGACCTAATACTGTATAGGGTAAATGGATAATTTTTTAATAATTTTTGCATAAACTCTAACGCAGTATCTCAAAAAATGAGCCACACAAGAAATGTTCAGCCTTACTTGTTGAGGGGAAAAGTGCGACCTAAATAATGTAATTGAATCAAAAAGTTAGCGTATCTTCATCAGAACGGAGAGTGTTCTTCATAATCGGGAATGAACTCTGTTTTTCATTCACCAGTATTTGTACCTGGCGATTTCGGACTCCTCGTGGGCATTTCGCGTGATGCGTTCGCGGAAATTCTTAAGTTTCATCTTCGCTGAGGTTTATTTTATTCACGGCCTTAACGCTCAGAAATCCGGCTGTTATCCTGATTATTCACCTGAGCATTCAGGTTGCTTAACGCAATCGCTTTGTGGACCTGATGAAGACCCCGGCGTTTTAAAATTTGATTCTGGTGTACCCGAGACGGATATACATGAGATTCTCGGGGTCCACAACAAACTGAGATCTCGAGTGGCTGTGAATGCCGCAGACATGCTTGAATTGGTGAGATATTTTCCTGCGCCGGAACTGTAAAAATTTGCGAGAATAATATTGCATTGTTGATCATCGTATTGAGAGACATGGGATTCCGAGCTAGCCAAGATTGCGCAGAAATGGGCCGACCAGTGCAGCATGAAGACGGATTGTCCGTCTTGTCGACAAACTTGTAAGTCTGCATTCATTATTAAAATCGATGATCTGAACGATTTTTCCTTGATTAATTTCATGATCATTAAAGAAAACGCGCATTTTCTTCGCGTTTCAATCCAACCAGTTTTCTCAACTTTTCAGAATATTTTCTCCATCAAGACAAATTCAAGTCGGTTCAAATCTGCTCGGAAGTCTGATCATTGTAGCTACTCCCAACGAAAACAAAAAAAACGTTGCTCGAACGGTGAAAATAATTTCTTCCAATATATGTTCCTGAAATTAGGTCTGAGTAAGAATTTATGCTTGAACTATCGTAATCTTCTTAGTGTTCAAAATTGTGGATGCAATTTCAAATTTAAGTTCTTTTGTGATATTCAGTATGTTTTGGTTTAAAATCTCCGATCCACTCCGTGATAAATTAAAAGCCTCCGCTCGTTTTCCTATGATGTTCTCATAATAAAGCTCTGTCTTGGACCGCATTTTACTCCTAAATGTCAATTTCTTCATGCAGCTACCTGAAAAATAACATGCGAGAAATGCTGTTGAAGCTCACTATATTCTCCAGCAGTGTAAGGACTAAAGAGTGCACTTTTCCTCCATCTAAACCTGGTCGAGAAAAATTGTAAAAGTTGCCAAGGAATATTAGAATAATATTCTAGAAATACTTCCATCGCTACCCACCTAGCAAGGGCAGAAAAATGCGAACATATGCGTACATCACATCATTATATGCATACGAGGATGCTGGTATATACTTGTACGTATGCATTTTTTCTCGCTCCTATAAAAGCCTGGAATTGGCAAGAATTTTGTTCTCGACGAGTACGGGTGGACTTTCTACATGAAATGCTCTCTACAACTATTTGTTTATGGCCACTTGAATTTCGTTGTAAAAGGAAAAAAAACCCTGTAACATGGAGAGAGCACTGTAAGGGACCAGAAAAAAATTCGTTATGCGCGGAGGAAATTTTTGTAGACCAAATCTCTGTAAAGAGATTCCAGCACCTGCAATTTTGTTCGCTTCTTTCCTTGAGGTTTTGTCGGGAGGGTGGATATAAACTTATGTATTTTCAGAATAATATCTATAACATTTCTAGACAAATCTTTAAAATTTGTCTCAACAGGTTGAAATGAGAGAAAATTCGAAGTAATGTACACCAAATCACTGCTGTAGAGAAGGAGGTTCACCAGCATTACTTGAATTTCAGATTAATTTTCGGACAAACATTGTTGCTACTGAAAACTATATACAGTAGCAGAATTTCATCATGACGAATAATCGCTTTGAAAAAATTGTTTTTAGGTCCCTCTCCAAAGGTCAAAATGCCATTTCAGTGTTTTTTATGGCGATTTTTTTTTGCAGCGGAGGTGTTTTACTGGTCCTTACGGTTTTGTTGTAACGATATTTTACTGCACTGCACAATATATATCCGGCACTTCAGATGCTTTTCACGACTGCCGAGTTTTATTTTTACAGCATGGCACCCGCACGTAGGCCAGAATATTTATTACTCCAGGTGGAGGGGCTATGGTGTGGCCAAGTTCGATTGGCCGAACGTGATCGCTGGCTGGGAAGTATCCCGAATGAACAGCAGTCAAGCCAAGGATTCATACGTACATGACAGTTCTTGGGCTGCCTACACTCAATTGGTGTGGGCAAAGACGCATCTGATCGGTTGCGGAGCCGTGAAACAGACCCGCGTCCACGACGAAGCCTCGTTTCATTACGTCTGCAACTACGCTCCGGGGTGAAGCTTCTCACATGAATCGATTTTCTTTAATAATTACCTCTGCTCTCCTCACCTCAGCTGTCCGCCCGTTTCACGACGGCGCTCCCGCTAGATGCCACATCTCTCAATATAAAACATTTTTTAATGAGAGATGTGTCAATAAAAAGCATTTTTTAATGAGAGATGTGGCATCTAGCGGAAGCGCCGTCGTGAGACGGGCGGACAGCTGAGGTGAGGAGAGCAGAGGTACCCTGGAACGGTCTTTCGCTTGTTGGTTTTTCGTATAAAAGGGGTGGCTGACCTTAGTGCATCAGTAGTAAGTCACTTGATCCAGTATTTAGTCGTTCAACTACTTGCGTTGCCACGATATTTGCAATATTCTTGGCTACTTGTTCGTGCTTGAAAGGATCGCTGTATTCTGCGAGCACTTAGGTAAACAACTCGACGACCGAATCGTCTGAACTGTTGCTTGAGGAGTTGTGTGACATACTACTGACGCACTAACGTCGGCCACCCCTTTTATATGAAAAATTAACAAGCAAAAGGCCGTTCCAGGGTACCTCTGCTCTCCTCACCTCAGCTGTCCGCCCGTCTCACAACGGCGCTCCCGCTAGATGCCACATCTCTCAATATAAAACATTTTTTAATGAGAGATGTAAAACAATATAAAACATTTTTCAATGAGAGATGTAAAACAATATAAAACATTTTTTAATGAGAGATGTGGCATCTAGCGGGAGCGCCGTCGTGAGATGGGCGGTCAGCTGAGGTGAGGAGAGCAGAGGTACCCTGGAACGGTCTTTCGCTTGTTGGTTTTTCGTATAAAAGGGGTGGCCGACGTTCGTGCTTGAAAGGATCGCTGTATCCTGCGAGCTGGGCATGCAGCTTAAGTGAAATTCTTGGAA